CACATAGTAATTCATTTCCAAGTAAGATTTCTTTTTCTTTGTACTGTCTTTTCCATCAACGGTTAAATATTTGAAAATCGTGATTTGTATTAACAAAATATTTATTATACTCAGAAAAAACTTATTTCTCAATACATATGACGTAAAAATCTCAAAATATCTATATATTTTAGTACTTGCATTGAATTCATAATACGTACTTCAATACTCAATTATATTCGAACTATTATTATTTTACTTGAACAACTCGTGAATGATGGACAGTATATTGTGGGAGCAAGCAGAAACTGTTGTTCTATTGTTGTTTGTAACAATATTGAATTTATTCTTCATTTTCTTCTACTCACATTATCAGACAGCAAGTCTTACGCATAATAAAAAAATAAAACTGACAATATCTTTATTTGTTCCGAGATAATGAAAGACAAATAAAAACTGAATGAGATAAGACATCCAACGCACTGACTTCCAAGTGACTATTAACTATATAGATGATAAGAAAACGAAAGTTGGAAAGAATAACCATAAAATAAATGATATTGCTGGGTTTTTTTTTCTCTACCTTTTGTTGCTGACAACGATACTTTTGATAACATCCAGGTGAAGTTTGACCTTGAGTTTCAACGAAAAAAACAGTCGACATCCAACGTATAAATAGCAAAAGTAATATCTATTCAAACAACAATCTATTTACTAATCAAGCAGCAAAAATGGCATCAAAAATGACTCGATATCAAAGACACCGTATGGCCGAAAATTATTTGGTCATCTGGGTCGATGGAAATATCGACATGGCAAATGAAGATTGCCAAAATTCATTGGAACAATTACGTGCTGTCGTCAATCAAGTCAATACGTGCACGACAGCTGAACAATGTATAGAACAGCTTATGGAAAATCAAGAGGAGATCTCATTTGTTATCTCCTCAGGTGCACTTGGACAACACCTGGTACCAGACATTCATGATATGGCAAAATTAAATGCCATTTTCATATTTTGTGGCAATAAACAACGGCATCAAGTATGGGCGCAAAACTGGCCGAAAATAAAAGGTGTTCACACAACAATCAAACATATTTGCGACAAATTGGCAACAGCAATCAAACAATACAATCAAGATCACATGTCGGTAAGCATTGTTAGTGTGAATGCAGGAGGTTCTAGCAAGAATCTAGATCAGCTAGAACCTTCTTTTATGTATTCCCAAATATTCAAGGAAATACTCCTTGAAATCGAACATGATCAACAAGCCGTCCAAGATTTGGTCACGTACTGCCAAGAACAATATCAAGGCAATAAAAAGGAAATCAAAATTATCAA